ACAGGAAGATCAAAAACAAGTATCTCGTTCGGAAAAAAGAGAACGCTTTCCTTCTGACGCGTGCATGTATTGTAGGGGCAACCATAAAGCTTCCTCATGTACGACTTATAGGACTGCACAAGAGAGATCGCGTTATTTACGGGACCACAAATTGTGCTTGATTTGCGCTTCCCCAAAGCACGCTACCTACGAGTGTAAGAAAAGACCGTGTTTTGTCTGTCAAGGGGCGCACCATACTTCTTGTTGCTTCAAAAACATTCCGGAACAGCATTCCCCGCAGCGAGTTAAAGAGCTTCAGGTGGCACCCAAGACCATACCCTCGCAAACTCCAAAAGGTGCATCGAAAAATACGCAAAAGCCCAAGTCTGTCACCAAGGTGAATCAGGTCTATACCCACGAGGACATCGACCAGGTTTCACTTATTCGAAACCAGGAATCGGTGCAGGAGATCGACCAACCTGCAGAACCAGCCCTAGACACTACAATTTGCGAACTCCAATCCGCACTGAGGGCTCGCGATTCTGAGGGCACTTTTCTACCAACGGGCGAGTTGACCGTATTTGATCCAAAATCACGGAGACTGAGGAGAATTGCCGTTTTGCTGGATACGGGGGCAGAGCTTTCGTTCATAGATAGCTCACTCGCGGATGAACTGGGGCTCACGACGATTGAAGAACTCAAACTGAGGCTCCATACATTCGGCTCCAATAACATACAGGAAGAAATAAGCCGCCGCGTTCAGCTGAACGCTTGGGACGATAACGGTCAACCTCTCATCCTGACTTTGCACACGCACAAGATTTTGACCAAATCGCTGACCACTCCTCCCGTTTTCAAGGAGGATATGGAATACATTCGGACACTAGGACTCTCTCTTAAGGCGCAAGAACATAGTTCCCCTGTGAAGCCTCTTATCCTGATCGGCTGCGACCAAGTATGGTCTCTTCTTAGAGAGGGTCAGTCACATATTCAACTCCCATCGGGATTACATCTTCTACCAACGCGTATAGGACAGTTGCTGACAGGTCAGCTCCAAACTGCGCAGACAATGGCACACAGTACCCCATTGGATATCATATCAGATCAATGGAAAGAATGTTGGTCTCTCGATACTCGCGTTAACGTTGTATCTCAGCACATGGGGCCAACCGAAGAAGACGAGTTATGGAGGAAGTACTGGGAGCTCGAAACGGCAGGTACTGAAGCGTTTACAGAATCAGAAGAAAAGGTCCAACAGCTGCTGGACAAACAGGTGTGGGATCGGTTAAAGAAACAGTCGAGAAGAGAGAGGATGGTTACTACGTCCGTTTACCCTGGAAGGAAAACGATACGGTCTTACCAGACAACCGACGGATCGCGTATCGACGCCTAGTCAGCACATGGATTTCACTCCAGAAGAACAAGAACCTGCTAGAACAATATAATGAAGTGTTTCGCGACCAGTTACGGCAACATATCATTGAAGCGGTAGAGGAAGAGAGCCAGGCAGGAGGGAATCGAGTTCATTACATACCCCACCAGGCGGTGCTTACCCCTCATAAGTCCACCACTAAATTGCGCATAGTATTCGACGCTTCCGCGCATTATAAGAACGCGTACTCCTTGAACGATACTTTACATAGGGGCCCGGTTATCCTTCCGAGTTTGTATGGACTTCTTCTTCGCTTCAGAATAGGACGCATTGCCGCAGTCTCCGATGTAGAGAAAGCGTTTTTGCAAGTACACCTTCATGAAAGCGACAGAGACGCAACCCGATTCCTATGGTTACGTGATCATAATAAACCACCTTCTGAGGGGAACATTCAAGTCTATCGCTTTACTCGAGTGACCTTTGGCATACTGTCCTCTCCATTTCTTTTAGCAGCGACCATACACTTCCACCTGGATCAGTTTCAGAGTGACGATAGTCTGATAAAGGATATCAAGGACAACCTTTATGTAGACAACCTTCTGCTGTCATCTGATTCCGTAGAGGAAGCTACGGAACAATACTCGCGTACGAAGAAAATCTTTAATGAACTTCACATGAATCTCAGAGAGTTCGTCTCAAACGACAACAAGTTGAGGTCTGCGATAGCTGATAAGGACAAATCTTCCGAGTTATCCCCAAAAGTTTTTGGAATTGTGTGGAATTCGACAGCGGACGAGTTACACATATCATGCACGGTTTCAACTCAAGGAACAACGACGAAACGTACCGTTGCGAGTTCAATAGCTTCTATATACGATCCTATGGGATGGCTGCTCCCACTGCTCCATAGAGCAAAGACCTTTTTGCAAGCGTTGTGGAAAGTTCCATATGACTGGGATACTCCGCTAAAGGAAAAGGATGCCGAAAAATGGAAGGAGATATGTGAAGCGATCCATGGATTCCGGAAATCCATCCCGCGTTTCCTAGCGCCAAAACAATGTCGAGTGATACTTATAAGCTTTGCTGACGCAAGTTGCGATGCGATGGCTGCATGCGTTTACCTCAGAGCGGGAGATATGACTCATCTCCTAATGGGCAAAGCAAAGCTTCCTTCTCTTAATTCCAAGATTACAGTACCCAAGCTAGAGCTCAACGCGATGACCTTAGCAATGCGTCTAACTATCTCAGTTATTACGCAGTTACAGTCGAGGATCGAAATTGATCGAGTTGTGGTGCTAACCGATTCGCAAATTGTACTAGCTTGGATAAAGGCCAAAGTACGACACGACGCTGGGCCGTTCATCAAAAATCGCGTTACTGAAATCCAACAAATCGCTAAAAAGATCAAGGCTTTGGGCTACCCCATCAAGTACGGTCACATTGCGTCGCAATACAATCCTGCGGACTGCGCTACTAGAGGGTTAGATAAATATGAGTTGGAGAATCATTTTTGGTGGATAGGACCAGATTTCATACGACTGCCCCTTAAAAATTGGGATGATTTCTTCCAAGCAATCGGGATCGAGACCACCTTTGATGACGAAAAATGCGAGTCAATTTCAAATGCACACCAACTCACGGTAAACAGTTCCGTGAGGGATAGTCAAGTAGATCCAGATTTTTTTCGGTCAGTACGCGTACAAAGCTTCGCTCATATCAAACGGACTCTAGCATATGTAATGAGATTTGTACGAGTTCTTGCAAAGCGAGTAAAAAACAAGAGAGCAGCTAAAAATGAGTTATTCTCCAGTTTGTCGCCACTTTTCGACGTTAAAGATGAGGATAACGCGACGATTCCCCTACGAGGCGAGGAAATAGCTATGGCAGGAAAAATGCTCGTAAAACAACACCAACTTGCAAGTATTACTCCGGAAATCTTCAAGACGCTTCACCATTTAAACCTCAAAATGGACGAGTTGGGGATATGGCGATGCTTTGGACGATTAGGTAACAGTACGCTTCACGATGATGCCAAATTCCCTATGTTTGTGCTGCAGAACTCCTGGTTGTCGAGACTGCTCATACTCGATTGCCACAGTAACGGCCACCCTACAACGAATCATACGATGGCACTCATCCGACAGCACTATTGGATCCCTAAGTTACGATCGCAGGTTACGAAAGCCATTCGTAGGTGCATTCCGTGTCAGAAATTCAACAACCTGCCCTTTAAGTACCCCGAACAGGGTGACCTACCCTCACGGCGAGTGCAGAGATCGCGTCCTTTTGACCACGTGGGGTTAGATTATTTCGGGCCTCTCAATGTCAAAATCGAGGATGGTACCATCAAGAAAGTCTACGGCTGCATAATCACTTGTTTGGTGACACGACTAATCCACCTGGATACGGTTTCGGATTTATCTACCAACGCTTTCATACTAATGCTTCGAAGGTTTTTCTCAAGAAGAGGAACTCCCTCATCGATAACGAGTGATAATGCGCCAACTTTCACGCTTGGAGATGCCGTTTTGAAGGAATACAGGAAATATGCGCAGCAAGATTCAGCGATCGCGAAACTAATCAGCGACAAAGAAATCCAGTGGAAGTACATCACTCCCTTTGCGCCTTGGCAAGGAGGGGTCTACGAACGCTTAATAAGGTCCGTGAAACTGGCGCTGTACAAATTTCAAGGACGGACAATCCTCTCGCTCGAAGAACTCTCCACGGTTCTGACGGAAATAGAGGCAATGTTGAATACTAGACCATTGGTCTACGTGGAGTCCGGACCGTGGGAAAGTAGGGTTCTGCGACCAATCGACTTCCTGCAGAACAATTTCGAGATCCCATACCCTCTTACTGCGAGCACGGACGACATCGAAGACCTAATCTATTTGCCCTCGGAAGAAAAGGTGGTGTTAAAATCCAGGTTGCAGGTGATCGAAGCACTGAAGTGTTCGTGCGAGTTGCCAGAGAAGTTCTGGCGCATATGGCAAACCGAATATTTAACATCCTTACGAGAGCGACACCAGAGGGAAGTCGGCAAACAACGAGGAAGTAGTTATGAGCCCAAGGTTGGCAAAATAGTTTTGATTAGCGATGCGCTTCAACCCCGACATTACTGGAAAATGGGTCGTATCGAAGCTTTGATTCCCAACAAGAACGGGATCGTGAGAGAAGCAGTCATTCTCCTCCCCTCTCATCGTTCTATTCGGAGACCTCTAAACTTATTGGTTCCTCTGGAAGTGGACGAAGAAGGGAGTCAGCAGGATGTAGCCGAACGAGTAAACTGCTCGAACATGGAAATGGATAACTCTGGCCAAAGGAAAAAACCGAAAGGTGATACCATGCAGACAGAAAAAATCGACTCTAAGTACAATCTACGTCCAAGACAACGTGTGAATTACTCCGAAAATTTCATCAGCACAGTACGAGCAATCTCTTTGCTCATCAAGCGGAACATAATGTTGAGCATTTTCTTGATCGTTTTTGTTTCGTCAGGGCTAAAGGCAGAGTCGACTCAAAAAGATTTGAGACCAAGAGAGCATTTACGATGTGTACAGGGTAGAGTTACAGCTACTCTCATCCCACCACGACCATCATGAACTGTGTGCCGAAGAAATTTGCTTAACATTCAATACTCCACGAGTAAATGAAACTATACGGTTCCCACCTCAAGTGGTTCTTCCACGAACACCTTATTCAATGGAAAGTTCCAAGAGAATGGCACAATAAGGACATTGGAAGTGACATGTCCGGCGGCACCATTTTGCGAAAACATAGACTGCACTATATGCGCTGCGGTACTATTCAATCCAGAATGCTGGCCTGTAGGGGCACTCATCGTCAGCGCAATTTTGCTTTATCTCTTACTGATGGGATGCTATGTTTTCTTCTATGTACCGCTGGTACTCGGGAGACCTTTACGCGTTTTAACGAGTCTGATGTGCACGGGGGCCCGCTTCTTGTTACGTGTTCTTTTCACGAAATCTTTGAGAAGAGGACGACAGAAAGGGATGGACTTGGCACAACTACTCGCGATTTTCCACGGTCTTAGCCATACTTCTCTTACCATTCAGTGTAAAGTTGCCAAGAACTGAACGTGTTCACGCACCGTATGACTAAGTGTTCGACTGAAAAGAACATCTGTAAAGTTCGTGTGTCGGAAGTATTAAAAGTCAATTCCTTCAAAAGGGAGGCATGCTTGAAATTACGAGGCAATTCTACCACACTGCGTGAAGTTCGAGTTACATGGGATTCGCTCCTTCTGGTATGTGAACCGCAGAGCATGCTTTTCACCCGAGATACAACGTACCATGTAATCGATAGCAAGCGGTGCCCACGCACAGGCCTCTTGTGTCAACGAGAAATGCACGCCAATCAATAGGTCATCGGTCGTGCCCGAACTGAGCGAAGGAAATCAATATCCTGGCGTAACCTCATGTGTAGAGTCTTGCGGAGGGCTAGGTTGTGATTGCTTTTGGTGGGGTTCAGGATGTCTATTTTATCGCGTCTACCTTAAGCCCAGAGCACAACAAGTATACGAGGTCTTCAGGTGCACAAGGTGGACCGAAGCAGTGAAAGTCAAGTTGAAACATTCGAACGCGTTGAATGGGAAAACCACATCCTATGTAGCCCTGCTGAACCCAAATATTCCGCTTAAGTGGTTATCATACTCCTTTACACTAAGTTCGGTAGCAGTACCACCTCTTCCATCCTTAAACGTTCCCTTTATAACGGATGGACGCAACACTGCTCTGTGGGATTCACATCTGGTGCCTCCACTTCAGTGCTCTACCGCGGATGCAGCCGACAAACTCCAATGTGAAGTAATGGAAAATTGCGTGTGCAATCCAGCAGAAACAAAAGCGAATTGCAACTGCAGGGAAATTAATATCTCCGCTTGGTTCCAGAACTTACAAAATAGGCTGCCTGTAAGAACACCTTCTCTTACTTTCTTCAGAGATAGAGAAGGAAGGGTAGTAGCTCGCGTACCGTCAATGACCACATCTGAAATCATACTGTCGCTTGACGAAGATCTAGAGACTGAGCTCTTGGTTGAGGAATCGATATGTCGAGTAGATGACGCGTTTTTGATTGGGGTTACAAATGCTCAAAAGGAGCAATAGCGCAAGTGACATGTAGGTCTTCGACACCAACGCAAGCGGAAATCATTCGTGGAGAAACGAGTTTTACGATCATGTGTGATGAGAAGGGACAGCAATCGACCCTACAGTTCAGCTTTTCCCAGGCAAGAGTCCATATCACGTGTTCAGTTTCATGTGG